TTTATAAAAAAAAAATCTGCAATATAAATATTTCTATTTTCTTCTAAACATATTCTGAGATATATTTGATAAACTAAGCATTGAAAAATTACACAAAAGGTTTAATTATATTAACTATTTTTTTATAAATTTAATAAATGCTGCTTATATATAAAATAAACAAAATATAATTTCAAATTTATATTTTTTTATAGATTTACATAAATTTGACAAAGGAAAATAACTTACCACAAGAACAAAAGATAGAGTATAAGGCGCGCGAACCAGCATCGCCGCCAGAATGTTTCACTTCTCCGTTCGTTTCAAATGTTCTATCTTCTTATCTCGATCAGCCTACACCCAATATCAAATCAGGACCCCCTAATTTTATCAAAAAATTTTTCACTCTTTACGCGCTAAATCTACCTGATAATAGATATTAATAATAGATCAATCAAATGTTTAATTAACTTTTAACTAAGAAGTAATCACCAACAACCGGATCACGATTTCCAGGAAAACTGGACCGCTGCTTTTTTTTATATTGACGACAAATGATTCAATGATGGCAAGTTGACGGCAGAACTCTGATGTTGATTCGGATTATATTGCTCTCGAATGCCAACTCGACTGGATCTAGCACCTTCGGTAACTGCACACAAACCACCATCCCCACCTATTATCAAATCCTTTCAACCCCGCTCCAACATTAAGCTCCCGATTCAACATCTCGATCTTCCGGAGTTGTTATCAGCAACAGTAACGTCTCGTCTCTTTGTTCCTCGTGTTAATATTTCTGGTATAACTCTTTTCCTCGTCGTCCCAACGATCGATTGATTAGTTCAATTTATCTTACCGCCAACGCATCCTGAGTAAAAATCATTTGCCATCGTCGAAATAATTACTTCATCAAAGAGCCTTACGTAATTAAGCGACGAGTGTTTTGTGTGTTCGAACTAATCAAACACTTTGTACGGCCTGTTAATAAAATTCTCGAAAATAATTAATAAAAATAAAAACTTTCTGTTTATCATTTTTGTACTTTTCGCACAATAATATATTATAAACAAGTACTTATTAATGTCTTTTATCAAACATGAGATTTATGCTATATTTAATATGCATAAATGTGTGTTATAGCATATAATATATATAAAAATTTTTATTTTGGAGAAACTATAATATAAAGTTATACGACGTCGATTTCTTTAGATTTTTGAGAGAAGATTCTACATATATATATATATCCATATATATATATATATATATATATGATAATACCACAAAAACAAGAGATACGAACGCCTATTATCGATAAAAGCCAACATATATATAAATTAGTATATATACTATTATATATGTTTCATAAATTCTCTATAATTATATATATATATATATATCCATTTTAATTTAACAAGCAATCGATAATTGACCGTGCAACATTTAATTTAAAAGTCTTTGTTCGTTATGCACAATAAAACCCTGTCGCTTTATTCGTCTCTATGACAAGAAGAACATTTTGCTGGTCACATTTAATAAATTGCAATTTTAATTAATTGCAGTTATCTTGCATTCTTGAGAATTATGATAATATTTAAGAATTATGATAAGCTCGGCTAAAATAACATTTAATTATATTTTACGTAACTGTGTTTTTATAATTATGTCTATTTTTTATATAACAAAAAAAATTCTTATTTTTATATAAAAAATATTCTTGGAAAACTATTTCTTAACTTCTTATTGCACTGTATTGCAAAAACGTTCGAGTCTTTATAACAAGAAAAAATGAACTATCTCGTGAAACCAATTTTTGATTAATAGAACATAAATCGTCCAGCGAATAACGCCATACGTACAGGAGAATTAAGAACCACTCCTATTCTTCCAATTATTAGTGTTCCTTCTTTCCTTTCAACATTGCTACCAGCGGCTCATGACGACACAATCACTCGTTATACGTATGTTATGCGACTTCGCGGTCACCTATTGTGTACCGATAAAAGTAAAGCCAAATTGCTTTGTACAATTTTCTATGTCTCCCGCTGAGCGTTTTATCGCTACTGACGCCAAGATGCAATAATTTACGATCCATCGCGCGCGAATGCTGCGATTTTGGAACACCCGGAATCGCTGATGGCCATCATTTCCGACTTTACAGTGTCTCTTATAATACGAAAATTCTTCGAGAAAAATGTTAAAAAAATACACTTTAAAAATGTTCAAATAAAAATCAACTAAAATCTTTCCTTAAACTATTTACATCTTACTGAAGAATATTTGGAAGAAGAATCTTTGCGAAAATTATTTGAAGAAATGTATAAATGGCAAACTTTATTTCGATATTTATGCGATAAAAAATTTGTATTTTATTTTTCAAAGTATACCTTATTTATTTCCCATGCATGATAAAAAAAAAATAATTGCTTTATTTTTCATTTCTTTATCTCATATGTGTGATGTCTGTTTTATACATTACAATTATTTTCAATATATATAAACGCCAAGCTATCTTTGATACAATCGACGTAAAAAAGATATATGTAATTTATTAACAAGTTTATTAATAAATTGCCAATAGCTATAACAATGTCAACAACCCGCATACTACGAATACGATTCGCAATTCGATCGAGTAATCGCAGTTGAATTAACTCGGCGATTTTAAGTGGCTCGCGCTGATCGTTATGTCGCGATCGGTCCGCTCGATCGTTCTTGTTTCGATTTGACGTGGCATATTAGGTGGAAGAGGTCGAAGGGAGACGGATATCGACGCGAGTCGGAGAATGGAAGAGGAAAATTGAAAGGAGATCGCACGTGCGTTGAGCACGAAATCATAAACGCTATTGCGCAAAATATTACTCCGGGTACTCGCCGAAATGAGAGATCGGAGCGCTTTGATGTGCGTGCATTTGATTGGAAATCCTATTTTACGATTCTCACATCTGCCACTTATAAATTCTCCATGATCACCTTTGCACCTTGACGCTATAATCGTCGATATTAGTAATGATCCAAAATATGACATCGTATTTTTATTCTCTTCTATAAGATTTTTATATCTACTCTTTTTAAAGTACACATCTTGAAAAGCATTTTTTTATATCTCTAATCGGCCTCGTATCGCTTTGTAGAAAATTAATATAATATAATCAATATAATATAAAATTAATATCGTGCTAGATTTTTCAGATAAGTGTAATTGAACAGATCATTCGTCATCTATGATAAAGTATTTCGACAAAAACCGCAAAAATGTTAATAACCATTAGTGTTCGTTTAAAAAGCGTTGCACAATATTTTAATTATGCCAAGCTGTCGCAAAATACCTGGTTACATGTAATGAAACTCTGTGTAGAGATTAGTGCAAGAGGTGTTGCATGCATATCTGCAAAGGAATATATACGTACAGATACGTACAGGTCTCTTCACATATACGGTTGAAACCTTGAGCCAAAATCCTCTTGAGTAATATGTCAGTGAAAGGAAATTTTCCTTATATAGCGGAACTTCCGCGGAATCCATGCAGTTCTGATTGATGCCGCGAATGATAATCCGATGCGCGGCAATAAAGTGCAATCAATTAATATGTTCATTATATGTGAGATTTATTTATTCATTTGATAATATATTCCTGATTAATTTTTCTTAAAATTTTTCTTTAGAATGTAAAAAGATTTTATATGGTAAAAATCATTTTCCGACAACAATATTATTTTTATTGCTGTTAAATAACAAAAGAACAATGTGGTTTGTAATAATATGTCTGGCGATAGTATTTACAATAAAAATCCTGCACGACTGGCGACGATCATCAAAGTTTCCTCCAGGTAAATTAAATTATTTTGTTAAATAATAATGTTTCCGAATATATATATATATATATATATTTTATGTGATGTGCTTCTAATTTGATTCGCTTGATCCAATATTTTGTATCGACGTAAAATTTACATAGAAATGACATTTGCGAAATGTTTTATTCGAGGACCCCGCGGTCTGCCGATCGTAGGAAACATATTCGACGTGAAACGTCTGGTCGATGAGACAAAGTTTTATTCTCATGCTTTGTGTCGTCTAGCCGACACTTACGGCCCCATCGTCGGCTTAAAACTCGGCATAGCCGAACCGCTGATCATTGTTTCCGGTAGGGATGCTGTGGTTGAAATGATGGGTCGACCTGAGTTCGACGGTAGGCCAGATGGATTTTTATATAAACATCGAACAGGGGGTGAGCGAAGAGGTATAATATTTACCGATGGCGATATCTGGCGAGACCAAAGGAGGTATTTTGTTTACGATTATTATATATATCAACAAAACTATGTAGTATACTGTAGTATATGTTTTTAATAATTTATAAAATATTAAAAAGAAAATACGTAAAGATACTTTGGTAAAACTGCATAAAAGGTAACATACCTCCGATTTTATCGCTACTTAAATATGTTGTAGGGGAAATTCTTTTGAGTAATTCCCCGCAAGAAATTTGTGAGAAACGGTATTGGTTTAGGAGATATAACAAATTAAAGTTTCATAGTTTTAATGCTTTTTCTATTATAAAACAAACAAAATTGAAGTTTGTTTACGTTGTATCTGCGTAGAGCAGATGTGGAAAAGGTGTTTGTTTACATTTACGGGATAGGTATACACTCATGGATACTTTGTCAATAATGTGTTTCATCTATTTCTCGCAATCCGTTTACAGCTTTCAACGTACAGCTACATGAATTTGTGCGTCTTGTATTGAAAAATATTATTTATTGAATGCGTGAGCGGGAGAGAGGCTCCGCTCCTGTGAACCCACTATATTCACGCGTATACTTTACAACGCGAAACGAGATCCACCCCCAAATTGTTATGTGGATGAGAAAGTGTATGTGTGAATGCAGTGAGTTTCGCCCCCCCCCCCCTCTACGGGAGGCTCCACTTCCGGAAGATATAACCTAACCCGATTGTTGACAACCTAGAAGATCATAAACAGTCTTTCCAATGAAAAAATAACAAATTATACAATATATATATATACATTTTAATATCAAACTTTAATTTGTTATATCTTTTAAACTAATGCCGTCCTCCACAAATTTCTTGCGGGGAATTACTCATAAGAACCTTCCTTACAACATATTTAAGTAGCGATAAAATCGAAGATATGTTACCTTTTATGCAATTTTAACGATACTTTATTTTTGAAATATTGTTAAATCACTCTTTGCGCGCTCTGTATAAAATTTTAAAAAATTAGATCAAATTACAACTTGTTACAAGTTATTCAGATTTATTCTGCGAACATTAAAAGAATTTGGATTTGGAAAACTGGCGATGGAAGATATAATATTAAACGATGCAGTTTCTTTAACCAGCATAATAGAATCGCTGGCTAAATTAGGACCCATTACAAACTTACACAATATTACCTCCATAGCAGTCCTTAATAGTGTGTGGACGTTAATCGCTGGATCGAGGTATGATATTTGAAGTTACATGCAATTAAATTAAATTCAAAAATAACTTTGAAACATATTGATCGCGCAGATTCGACTTGGACAAGGAAAATCCAAAATTAAGAGAAATTATATCAGTGGTAAACGATCTTCTCAGAAACAGCAATGTCACTGGCGGTATATTGACCCATTTGCCTCTTTTAAGATACATAATCCCAAACTCTACCGGATTTACCGTATTAAATCAGAGACTGGCACGAATGTCACAATTCTTCAGAGTAATTATATATATATATATTTTTTTAGCGATGTTATTTCTGTCTATACAAGATATCTTATTTCAGAGGGAAATTGCAACACACAAACAAACTAGAACGCACGGCGAATTTAGAGACTTTATCGATGTTTACCTAGCGGAAATGGAGCAATCAAAATCGATTATATCGTGCTTCGATGGTATAGAATGTTTTAACAATAATTAAATAACAAAATTACTATTTAAAAACAAATTTCAATATTTGTTGATTTTTCTGCATGTTATAAAAAATCATTGTATATATATTATAAATCGTATATATATTATAAAAACATAATAGTAAATAAGGAAACAGTATTATTTAAGAAAATAATTTATTTTAATAAGATATTGTAATGCATCCCATCCTATTATATGTATTAAAATTTTAAGATAAAAACTGCTATAACTCGCAAATAATGCAAATAAAACATTGTACATTGCAGAGTATTCTTGTTTACAGAGGAGCAATTAATTAGCGTCATGAAAGACCTCTTTACCGCTGGTGTAGAAACGACGAACAACATAATTGGCTTTATAATAACGTATCTCGCAGTGAGGCAGGATGTTCAAGAAAGGGTGCACGAGGAAATTGAAAGAGGGTTGG